AACGTACAGAATTCCGACCATCCGATCGCCTCTTTGTAGTTGGGACATTCCTGCTGGAGCTCGGAGACGGTCTCGTTCAGGCAACTTCTGCAAACGTCCTCCGTTTCGTCTCCCCTGCAGAGTCCGATTGCATTAACCTGGTCAGGGCTCCGACCGACGGACAAATTGTAGAACCCATAATTGAAATTCGACGTAGTGGATAGCTGAGAAAACAGACGGTTGAGGTTGGTACCGTAAGTACTGTTGGTGGTGAAGTTGCCATTGTTAACACAAGGAAACCGGCAGTTGAGATCTTTGGCGGAAATGAGATTTATAAGAAAAACAGAGAAAAGTAAGATCAGAAGCAGTCTTGAGCATCCCATTTGTCTCGTTCAAAACCCATTCATTCAAGGGAAAATAGCCATTGATGTTTGATAAGGTTGTAAAGTTATCAAGTTGCAGCAAATTGCCATTAATTTAATATGAAATTAATTATGAATAGATGAAAATGGGAGTTGTCGATCTGTGAACACAGCCGCCATGGATGAATTTTGACCACAAACCGCCATAGAAATGAGTTATTAAAGCATGCTTAGTAATTGGTAAGCATAGTTCTTATATTAATTGATCGAATTCGTATTACAGAAGTTTTTCAGCTTGTGTTATAAACAAATCTAAAAGAGAAGGCAAGACTTTACCTTTGTTTTCTGTTCTTCTGTTTAACAATTTTCTTTATTGAGTCATTGACAGTTGACAAGATTGAATATATGCATTTCATCCATTAAAATCACTATGAAACTACAACATTTTTGTTCCAAAAAAGAAATAACATAACTTGTTAATGATGATAATTCGTAAACAACTGTTTATACAGGTCTCCAACTTCTAGCTATCTTGGATGTAAGTCAGTAATTGAAACAACGTTTATTGAAGCCTAAGGCAAGTCCAGTGTTGGATTGTTGGGATTCATGCGAGGATGACATTTCTGACTCATCAGTTGTGCTTTGCAACAAATAGGCAGGATGTCAGGGTGTTGGGAGAACTATAGAATTGCTGGTAAGCATTACAATAATTGATCCCATAGTTGGTCTTTGTAGCGGATTTTCTTGCACACAAAGTAATCCGACATGGATGCATTTCATCATTTGAGCTGTTGAATCCGCTCTCAAATTTGGTTCTACAATATGTGGTGCAGTCCCTTCCCTCCAATTTCTCCATGCCTGCAGCAAAAGGAAAAATCAGAACTCCTTTTACACTACAGAAAACTAATCTTTCAAAATGTTGAAATTTATGTGTGTTAATCACGTATACTTAAAAGGCTTATTAAATTTGTAGCATTCTCCTCATTGTGAGGAGAGTTATTCTTTTGACCACTCACAACCCCCAAAATCATCCAACCAAAACTAAAGAAATCTGTCGTAACTAAGAAATATCTATGTTTAATATATCCTGAAATCATATATTCATTGCAATTTGACATTTTTAAGAAATTAATATGAATAAAAATTTACAAAGGGTATGAACTAATGAAATGTTGGTGCTAAGATTGTAATACTTACTATGTTCCTACAACCCTATTTGTAGTAACATGAGTATCATCAACTACAAACAATGTTGCCATGCCAAAATCTAAAATTTTTGAATCCATCTCTTCATCTAGTAAAATGTTGTTGGATTTAAGATTGCGATGAATAATTTGCAATTGAGAGTCTTCATGAAGATAGAGAAACCCTCAAGAAATGCCTCCTATAATTTTATAAGAAATGCCTCCTATAATTTTATACTGCCTTCCCTAATTCAATTTTGCACTCTTTGTTGGATCTATATATGTTCATAGTTCATGCTAGTATGTGATTAAGACAAAATAAGATGTCAATTTGTTTTTTTGTTTTTTTTTAAATGATGGCTTTCTAAATGACCAAAACATCTAATGAGAGTAACTACAAAAGCATGAAACACAAATGTAAAATTTCATGAAGGAAAAACTGAAATTGGACTCCAGTAAAAAAGGGAAAAGTCACCTACCAAATATGAAGTTATATATCAAGGCTTGCATTTGGCACAAATTCATAGATGAGAAGTCTTTCTTTTCCTTC